ATAGCATACATACAGTCTATAATCCATAATCCATTATTCATTCTCTTTTTTTTTTTTCGTTTTATAACCTGTTAAAAAAAAAAAATAAATAAAACAAAATATATAAAGTCTACACAATGTATCCTCAGATGAGACACTATACCATTTATACTGGAGAACAAAGATATTCGCCTGCTCCAGTCTCTCCTCCACCTTCACCACCAAAGTCTGACAGCATCTGGCCAACAATGAAAGGTAACGAACCTTATCCTTACAACAACTCCAAGGAAACTTTACACAAGTCCAATGTGGTTCATCCTTCGACACCAAACTTGAATTATGGCCCTTATCCCTACAATTCTTCTAGAGCGATATCCCATTCAAATCACGTGAAACAAAATTATTATGTTGATCACATGAAAACGATTGAAAGTTGGAGGCAACATTCGATGATAAACAACGATATTAATGATGATAATAAAGAAGAAGTTACCGAAATTTTACAAACTGAAACCAAAAAGTTATCTAGGATGAGCATAGATTTTATGTTGGATAATTCATGTGATGAATATGAAAATTTATCATCATCATCATCATCATCTACAACACCTGAATTTGGTAAGGAAATTGATCGTAGGGTTTATGCTGGTAGAAAACGAAGATGTCGTAAAAATCCTTATCCAATGAGAGCACCATCTAAAGATGCTCCAGGAATTAATCTTAAGGTAGATGTTTATACTCCAGTTATGAAAGATCCTGCTGCAATCTTACGCAGCAATGACACTTCTGCCGCTACGTCACCTACTGATTCAGTAGATTCCCGTCAATTTTCTAAAAACCAAATGTCATCAACAACATCCGTTCCACAATTCTCACCCATTTCTTTGGTTGAATCCAACAATGAATCAGATAGGAAGTCAAACGTTTCCTTAAAGATTAAGGAGAAATCATCGGGAAGAAGACGTCATCACAAAGAAGCTAGAGTGAAACGTTCTGGTGTCATCAAACCTGAACGAAAGAGAAAGGGAAATAGTTTGGCCAGGGTAATGACAGATAGAGGACTTTTGGAATCGATTTTTAATACTGATATCACTTCAACTGACATCAAATCGGTTAGAATACCTCCCCCACCACCAATGCGACATGATGAATTATTAAGTGTCATCAAAGAATTGAATATAGATCACAGTATCTTGGATAATTATACTCCAGATATCACTTGGAAAGGACAACCTCTTAATATCGCTCATTTACCTCATTATAGTGAACTACATGAGATTGAAGCAAAAGTAGTTTCAATATTACGCCTTACTCCAGTACAATATTTAACTGGAAAGCATACACTTGTTTCTGCTGCTAGAAGATATGTCCAAAGGGCCTTACCATTCAAGAAAAGTGATGCACAGAAACTTTTGCGCATCGATGTAAATAAAGCAAGTAAGCTTTGGGAATTCTTTCGTCAAGTCAAATGGATTTAAAGGTGACAATGATATCATTGTTATAGAACATCTTTATTTATTATGGATTGATAATTATTGGCAAAATCTCAAACAAAAAATTTTATAAATATGCTTATAAATACAATGAGTCGTTCCCATTTATTATTATTGTTTTTTTTTTTTCAAAGAAACTGAATTTCATTATATTATTTGTAAATAATTTTTTTTTTATTGCATAAATTTTAGATTTTCTTTCTTTTTTTTTTTCTTTCTTGATCATTTTTTTTTTTATAAATTTTATTTTGTGAATAGATCTTTTTTTTTTTTCTGTTACAAACGTAAACGTTTTACACAATTTTAAACGTTTATTTTCCCCTTTTTTTTTCCTTACCCAAATGCATTTTTATGTTTTCAATAACTTTTGTAAATACGAACGAAATTTCAACGGCTGTAATCGCGTAACTAATTGTAATTCGTGGGCAAACATATGCGTATAAATATTTTAAATTAATATAATTAACACGACTATTAAAATAGATTGATTAGAAAAAAAATTCGCCTTAACGATTTAATTTCGAAAACTTTCATCAATACGCTAAACTTCGATTTTAATAATAGTATGATTAAGATTAAGTAATTTATTTCTTTTTTTTTTTTTTCGTTAAAAAGATAGTAATTTACCTGTCTCTTATACACATCTAGATGTGTATAAGAGACAGATTTTATACAAAACAGAACTCGTTGCAAATATAAATAAGGATTGTTCCTCANTTTTTTTTTTTTTAAAAAAAAAAAATAATTATTATAATTTCTCTTAAAGAAGTTAAAGAAGCGAGTATTGCTAAGCGAGCGTTTCTAAATATTGCTATTTTCCTTTAAAGAGACTTGTAAATATTGTTAAAGAACCTTGTAAATATTGATAAAGAGCCTTTGTAAATATTGTTAAAGAACCTTGTAAATATTGTTAAAGAGCCTTGCAAATATTGTTAAAGAACCTTGTAAATATTGTTAAAGAGCCTTGTAAATATTGTTTCTTTTGCTATCTTCCTTTAAAGAGCCTGATAAATATTGCTGTTTTCCTTTAAAGAGCCAGTAAATATTTGTTTCTTTAAAGAGCCTGATAAATATTGCTATTTTCCTTTAAAGAGCCGGTAAATATTTGTTTCTTTAAAGAGACTGGTAAATATTGCTATTTTTCTTTAAAGTGCTTGGCAAATATTGCTATTTTCCTTTAAAGAGCCGGTAAAGAGCCCGGTAAATATTGTTAAATGTTTCCCTGATCGATAGATACTGTTAACGTTACTCTTAACGTTACTCTTGGCAGCATATCCCTGATCGATAGTTTTACTCTTGGCAAAATATTGTTCTGATCGAATACTGTTAATGTTACTCTTGGCAAAATATTTTGTTCTGATCAATAAATGTTCCCCTAACTGAACTGATAGATACCATAGATATCATATAGATACAATAGTTACAATAGTTACATAGTTACAATAGTTACAACTTACAATAGATACCATCAAAAATTTCGAATTCAAAAAGATTTATTAACCTTAATTAAAAATAAGAATAAGTTTTGAATGGTTATACACTTTGATATATTTCCTTAAAGATAATAATCATTCGAGCTGCGTCGTTCACATGACAATTGGCTTCGGTTCCATAAAAGTACAATGATATAAGGTATAAAATAAAATTCTCCGATTATTATATCATTTCACCTAATTATAAACATGTATTTATCACATTTTCGGACATTTGTCTTTTTTTATAAATGTCTTTGCATTCAACTCGCATTTTTTAATTTTAAGAAGCATTTTTTAAATTATTTTATTTATTTATATAATGTCGGCCATGCATTTTGCATTAATGAAATTTAAACATCAACCCTAAAAAAAGTATTTTAACATTTCATCTTTATAATAATAATAAAAAAATTAAGATTTTCAAAGTCAAATTTTTTCTTAAATTTCTTTTTTTGGTTTAAAGTGTTTTTTATTGTAATAATAATAATAATATTTTTTTTTTTGTGGTGTTGTTCCAAGTAAACATAATATGTAAAATTTATAAAATGTGGAACACTTATCTTGCATATACTTTTTTTATGAAACAAAAAAATATTGGTTTATAATCGATATTTAATATAACTCAAAAAAAAAATATTATTAATAATTGTTAATTGGAAATATAAAAAATCCTTCTGGGCCAGGTTTGTGTTTATTTTTATTTATTTTACGCCCGATTTGATATATATAATTGGACAAATGATACTTTGCATGATTTTTAAGTTTTTATTTTATTTTATTTTTTTTTTGTTAAAAATAGAAAAATGTTTTTTTTTTTTTTTGAAAGGCTTATTAGGAAATGTTAATTTAATTACAATATTGGTCAAAACAACTAAATATTTCACAACAATCATTGGCCTTTAAGTAAACAAAAAGTAAAAATAAATATATATGCGAAAATATACGAAATATGTGAAATACGCGTATAAAAAGGAAATGCATTAAATTAAACCCGGATCAAGCGAACGTTTACCGTAATTTCCATATGTCAGACATTGGATCTTCATTTTATTTATTGCATTACAGTACATTTTTGAACCCTGCGGGATTTCGTTGATCTCAACCAAACACTATTTTTAAACCTTTATTTTTTTTCATACACCACAGAAAAAAAAAAAAAAAATAATTTAATTACTTTATACTGTAAGTAGATGATCAAACTATCTCTGAAAACAAATGCTTTTTTTTTTTTTAAAGTTTTTGTAAATCTTTTTTTAAAAAAATCACAATAAAAGTCATATTGCATATATGTTTGAACGAACGGGGACCGGCATATTACCGGTAATGCATATCAATGTCTCACTAAAATAAAAAGGTACATTCGTGATTTGATATTAATTAATCTCAAAATTTTTGCATTACTTACGCAAGTTTAACCTATAAATTGTTTTCTTTGCGTCACATTCACAATAATTAATTGCCATTACTTAATTGATTTTTATAATGCAACATTCCAATTAGAAAGTTTCATTTACTTGAACGGGTAATATTTTTTTCTCGAAAAAAAAAAAAAATTTTAATATGCAAATCATTTCTTCTGTTATCTACTTGTACATTGAGAAGAACATTTATCTTATATAAAATGGGTTAACTGGGAGGATGTGCATGAATGTGAAATGTGATAAATAAAATGCATAAAAAAAAATTACAATTAACTAAATTCATTTATTTCGAACCAATTAATTCTTTCTCTTTTTTTCTTTTATCATTTATTTGGATCTTTACATATTTCGTATTTTACGTATTTTACGTATTTTACATATTTTACGTATTTTACGTATTTTACATATTTTATGTATTTTACGTATTTCGTATTTTACATATTTTTACGTATTTTATGTATTTTACGTATTTCGTATTTTTTTACTTATTTTACATATTTACATATATTTACGTGTAAAAATATAAAATTATCATTCTTACTTATAAATGTTTATCAAAGTCATTTTCAATATATAAATACATATTTTTTCATAACAAAACGTGAAATTTTTATGCAATTTCTACTACATTCAGCCAAAAGGAAAATAAATATTTAAATTAAAAAACAAGTCCTTGCATAAATTCAATCAAGATTACCGAAATACAATTAGTCAATAAAATAAGATTTAAGGTATTTAAGATGCATGAGACTTGCTTAATTTAATATAAATATCAACGAATTTAAATGAATGAAATTTAATACCGTATTATAATCAGTCCAACGCGTTGTTTCCATATGCAAAAGATTTATAAACAATCCGTAATTAGTTTTCTTTCTAGCAAATTGAACGCGACATTATTTTTTTTTTTT